ATTATTGAATATTTTAATTGATTTGTTTTATATTTCATTGTTAAATATTTTAAATTCTTAATGTTAACCAATTCTGGCATTTGTTTCTTTTCAGTAGCAGACATCTGGCTCTGGTATAGATCCCAGCGGACCATCCTGGGCAAGCTCCAGAAAAAGCAAGAGTGACCAGAAAAGATGCAACCTCACAGCAAGGCAGAAGTGGGTGGAAAGAAACTTAGGCTTCCTGAGAAGGCATATAGTGCACCGGCCACAGGGATCCCAGCTCGGACAAGTACCAGCTGATGAAGAGGACGAGGATAGTGAGCCCTCCTCCTCGGTTACACAGGCACCCACGAGGAAGAAGCAGAGAAAGAAGAAGGACTTGGATACAGCAATCATTGACCTGTTGGAGAAGACTGACAGGCAGACGGTTGACCTGACTGCAAAGTCGACGCAGCAATGAGCCACAGCAAAGAAGAGAAGACCAACGTCTTCTATGTCTTTCATGTCTTTGTCGACGACGAATAAGTAACGCCTGCACGACCAAGATTCTGTATACCAAGCAGACGGCGAGGAGTAATGGTGAAGCAGCATCCATGGTCAAATGTGGTCTGAAACAGAGATGCTTATACAGGGTTTACAAATGCTAGTGGCAAAACATGGGGAATTGAAGCTGATAAATCGTACATAGTAAAACGTTGTAAGATTACATGAGACACGTTGAGCAACAGTCTCATGGTAGCACAACACACGCATATACAGCTGCGATACACCTTACGACTTTAACAATCGTGCATCACTCTTGCGATTACACAAAACGTTGTAAGACGCTCGTAATAATATTCGTGCGTTGAACTGCGATAAATGTGGATCGCATTTGGTCGCGTCTGAATAGTGTGCATGTCAACTATTTTGAGGAGACTTGATGCGACCACTAAAACGCATTCAACGAATGCGAAACATCGTGCAACGTATGCGAGAGCTCGGCAAAGCGTTGTAAAGTGCTCGTGCGCCAAGTGTGAAAGGGCATTAAACTGCATGACGAATGGCTTATACTTCGTCATCTTCCCATATTTATGTACATAATACATGTAGTCTTATTTTACCATTACACGTACCTGTTTACAGTATATAACCTCCCATTTTCTTTACACAAGAATATTTAGAGGACCACCAGTCTTAACTTGAGCAGGCTTTTGACAAATAGATAAATGTCACAAAGCATTCTACATTCTTCTCAAGTTAATCATATTGCAAAAAAAAAATCGGTCTTGTGCAACTAAATACTGATCTTGCATTCTAACAACTTGCTCATATTTTGACTAAGGTTACATACCAATTTTAGACCGTATCATTGTTTTTGATTAATACTCAATTTGATGAGAGACAAAGTAACAGATTCTAGATTTTTACAAATCTTGCAAAAATGATGCATCTATGGATGCATTATCATTACATTTATTTGTCGTGAGTGTTTAATTTTCCTGCTAATTAATTTCAAGGTATTACTCTTTGTGAAGATTTGACTATGAAGTTTCTAGTATGAAGAAAAAATACTCAAAGTCTTAGCAATCCGGACTGACAATCACATCGATTCGTTGGAAAGAAAAACCTTACAATTTGGAAACTTAATTTTTGGTTTAGTTAAGACAAGATGCTTTCTTTAATACAGAAGTTTATTTGCAATATTAACAAGTTCTATATTAACTACCCAATATAATCAGGCTTACGTGTACCATATAGCACTGCTATCAAACCCATGCTAACATCCATAGATTTTGAAATTGAGGATATTTTTTAAATAAGTATCTCGAACTAAATGGTTAATTATAACCAAAAGTCAAAAAACCATCCAAATTCACGTAATTTCAAAAATTCTCTATCTTTGCTTCCGAATATGTGGGAGAAAAACTGCTTGCGTGATAACTTTAAGCATGCTTCTAATTCAGCCAACTTTGCGCTAAGTTGATCATATAACTAATATAAATGAAAATTCATTTATACGTTGGATTGTAGGGCTTATTGATAAAATATTTTGAGTTTGCATCACATATTTATATCATTCATTACCTCTTCTAGGACGAAAGCTGCGTGAATACATGTACATGTATTAATGCTCAGGAGTTCTTTACCAAATTGTAGATTGTCGCATGACTGTTTAATGACTGACAGGTCTAATGCGTAACCTTTGTCTTTTAATAATATATCAAAAATAGGAAAATAAACGAAAGAACAAAATAATGAGGATAGATGTTTCGCCAGTCATCCTGCTGTGTAAATGAAGTGATAATGAGACTGTCAGATTAGAAGAGACTGCGAATCGATTTCACACATTGTGGTTCATCGTCTCTACGAATTAGAATTCACGATGTGTATTTCTATGTCATAATTGTTTGTTCCCCTGAAACACCCCATTAAGAAGATTTTGTCTGGTTCTGACTAGATGAAATATTCGAAGTAAATTTGTTCATTAAATATGTCATATATTAAGATGTAATGAATTATATTGAGATATTAAAAAGTATTCAAGCTTAAAAATCCATTTCACAATACAAAATAAGGGCAGAGCAAACACAGACTCCAATACATCAGAATTGGGATCAGATGCCATGGAAGAGTGAGCATCCACTGTCGACCGGTCACATCCACTGTGTGCTCCTTTGTCATGATTAGGAAATAACGGAAAAATCCGTCGACAATTCAGTGTGTAAATAATGGCCTAACAATAAGTATGAAAGACGTCAGTAAGCATTTGAAATTGTATTTGCTGACAAGGTAATTGCATCGAACATAGAAGTTACGAAATGAGACTGCTGATATTCTTGTTTCAGCAACTTGTTTGTCAATAACTTACTTCGTTTCAAAAAATTTTCATATGTACGAGCATGTATCGAATCAGCTGAGAGATATACGAGGGTCATTCAAAAAGTTCGTAGACTTTTGCCCTAATTTTTTTATTTAACGTCATATTACATCCAAATTTGGTACACATATTTTAACAACAAATTCGAATAATTTGAGTAAAAAATTTGGAATATAACTTCATATTTATAAAAGTTATAGAAGATTTAGAACAGCAAAAATGGGGTCACTGAGCAATGTCAAAATTGAATAATTTACTAATTTTCAATTTATAGTATCTAAAGCCATACCTCTAATAAATGGAGCTGAAACGAAATTTAAATTACATGTTTAAATTTTGTCTTGCTGTATTACTTAAGATGCTATCAGGTAATGTAATATACCGCTCCGTTTAAAAGATATCAGTTTCTAAAGACATATGGACTTGATTAAAAATGGCAAAAGAACATGACGTTGGAGGACGTCACGCAGCAGCAAGTAGCAATAAAATTTTGCTTTGCATTTGGGAAACTTCTTTAACAAACTTAAAAGATTCTGTACAAACCAGGAAATATACGAAAATAAGCTGTGTATTTGTATAAATATGGAAAATACAACTTTTGAGTGGTAGGGAATTTGAATCGGACGATGGATGGTCTGCAAAGAAACAGGCTTTAGTTAAAAACCTTGTCAAAAGAGTTAGGAACGTCATTACACGTGATGTGCGTTTCACTGTTGCGGAAGTAATCGAGTTACACGTACGCGGTAAAAAAATTGAAAACACTGGCAACCCAGTTCAAGCTATTTGCACAATTGTTAGCAAACTAGGTGTTAAGTGTTATAGACACGTTTTATGAATGGAGAAGACGCTACAAACCGTGAATGAAATTAAAAAGAAGAGTAATTTTGAGAAACTTTCTCGGCGGTGTTTTTGACATTACAATGTTGATTAACCATGCTCCGTGGTAACAAAACATGCTGTTTTAAAAATTGGTTAGCTTGAGTTCTATTTAATCAAATGGAATAAAAAAGTTAACTTCATACTTCGACAAAATAAATGTTTTCTTATTTACGATAATGTGTTCATCTATCATCTTGTAATAATAATATGACGATTTTCTGGAACAAAATCATGTCTACGTATTTTTTGAATGACACAAACACAAATATGTAAATCACACAACACAGTATGCAGGTGATGAAGGTATATTGCTGCATAAGTTTGGGTGGAAGTTGACAATTGAAAAGTTAAAGTCATCACGTTTATCATAAAGCTTTGTTGTTAGATTACCATTAATGTCTCTTTCAAGTAAAACATCTAAATATGAAACATGTGTCAGACTCTGTGCTATCTTTTATTTTAAGTTCACCGGGATATATCGTATCGACAGAAGTATGGAAATCACCATCGTTAATTGACAATACGTCGCAGATATATCTAAATGTCGATTTGAAAGCAACAGCAAATGTTTTCTACTTTTCACGTTTAAGCTTTTGGACAAATTCTAATTCATATGAATGCAAAAAAATAGGTCTGCCAATAATGGGGCGCAATTGGTACCAATGGGAATTCCAAAAAACTATTGGAAAATCTGGTCTCCAAAACCACAAAGATACTGTCAATCAGAAACTCAAGCATCTTTTTAATATGAACCTCGGAGTACTTGTGTGTACAATCCGAATGTTTTTAACAAAATAATTTTGCAAATGATCAATGACAAGGTGAGTAGATTTACAAGTTCAATTTTGGTATCAAAATACCTGGACTTTAACTGATCGTGATTATTTATACCACTTCTTGAATATATTGTTGCACAGTAAGTGATTTAAAAGATCATATCTTTTGTTCCTTTTCATGTTTATACAATGTGACACAGAAATTTCAAAAAACTGAGTTGAAATCAAGCAGGGACTATGTGTATGGGAAAAAAGAAGGAAAAAAAGCGTTTTTCGTAAATCTGTGTTAAACAGAGAGTAAAATTCTGTAGTCCCTGCAAATTAGTTAAAAAAACAGTAGATTCATATCCAGTTGTTGCATATCCTGGTTTGACCCTATATACTAGCAGTTCATGTACGTATATTGTGAGTAGAGCTTAATTTTCTTTATCTATTACCCTTTCCTTACAGGACGAACAAAAATCTTATCAATTTAACTAAAACGAATTTGCTTTTTTTTCATTTTCATTTTCCATTTTATTACGCTTGTGTGAGTAAGAGACCTGCACAAAACTGTAGAATGCACGCAGCAGCTGCTAAGATGGCTGACCACTGAATCTTTGGACTGGCAGACGTATACGACTCGTCCAGCTTACCATAAAACATCACCAAACAAAGGGATATAACGAACACTGAAAAAAGCACAGCAATAATAAGTAGTAAGAAGATGGAAACTCTATTAATACGCGGTTTTAAAGCTGATTTCTAGATAAAGCCTTCCATTAAAGGCTCAAGTTCTTAGGGGAGAGATGGAATTTTTTTTCTAACTTGGAAACTGACCTGATATAATACAGACTGCAGACACTGTCAGCTGTTTATGGTATATCCATGATTGTGGGATGCTTGTATCAAACTTCTTAGAGGTAAGAAGAACTAATGAAGCTACCATTAAAGACCAACCAAAAAGTCCCAAAGCTTGTAGGATGTGGTACCATACTGTAATAAGAGAATCTGTTCCACTTTATATGATTAGATGTGTACCTCATAGAATACTAGTATTTACATCCACTGAATATATATTTTCTCCTTTATTTTTCACTAGGCAGGGTATAGGGAGAACAAAAATACTATAATTAACTATTAATAGTTTACTGTAGTTAAGTAAAGACTAGAGGTACTGTGAGCGATGAGCTCACTAAATGATACCCCCGCCTCCATGTAGTTATAATTGCAAAGTCCATGTTTTGCTGTGGCCGGGAAACCCAAAATATGTGTCGGATCAAAAAGTAAAATAGGAGGTGCACAATGGCAATATGTAATAAAGATTCTGTGAAAGTTTCATCAAATTTCATTCAGTGGTATGAGTGGAGTTGCGGATAAGAGATGGGTACCCCAAAACGTAACAGACGGACGGACGGACGGACGGACAGACGGACGGAATTAACGATTACTATATACCCTCCCGCTTTTCAAGCGGGGGGTATAAAAATCAAAATTTCAATGCAATTACTTGAGTAAATCAAAGTTATCACTACAGAGTCGAAGTAATCTGCCTATAGTAAATTAAAGTTTTCATAGTGATCTCTACAAAAGTTAATAATCAAAGTTTTCATCAGGCGCGGATCCAGGAATTGAAGTATGAGGGGGCGCCAAAAGTAGGCAGTGGCTCCAGGGCGAAGCCCGGAGGGGGCTCAGGGGGCGAAGCCCCCGAAAGCTCCTGGATTCTAGAGTTTTTGTAGGGTAGAAATGAGGTCTACCGAGTAGACATTTTTATATTCTCTCGACGAAACTATGATTTACGCTAACTTTGACAATTGGGGGGTAGGGGGGGGGGGTACGCCCCCCTTAAATCCGCCACTGTTCATAGTGTCAAAGTTATTTCTATAGTAAATCAAAGTTTTTATAGTGTCAACGTTATAACTATAGTAAACCAGAGTTTTCATAGTGATCATTTTGGTAAATCAAAGTTTTTATACTCCCAACGTTATCACCTGACTATAGTAACTCAAACTTTTCATAGTGATCACTAAAGTATATCGAAGTTTTCATTCTGATCAATATAGGAAGTCAAAGTTGTCACCATGCATGTAGTAAATTAAAGTTCTAATAGTTATCAATGTAGAAAATCAGCAGATATCATAATTCAACTTACCGCTTGATACCATTACTTTACCCCTCCCCCTCCCCAGTCCCTTTAAATGACAACGTTTTCATTGGTTTCTCATCTGGACAAAACACACTCTGGAATCTTTCACTACCAAGTGGGTCTAAAACTTAAAGGACATAATAGTTTTAAAATTAACTCACCCAGTCATCAAACAGCGACACTACCCCTCCCAATCAAATGATAACTTACATGGGCATTTTACTGTCAGAATTTATTTTGAAAACTTGTATGTCAAAATATGTTGAAATACATTAATTTATAGAAAATGAGATTAAGTATTCTTACAAACCCAGCATTGTATGGATTTTATTCGACTTCAAGAAATCAACATCACTGGAGAAATTACTTCCTTAATCTTATCTTTTAAAAGTATGGACCTGCGATCGACTGCCTGATTAAAGAGAAATTTCAGACTACTAGTATTACTGTCACTTTCAATTACTAGTTTCAGAAAAATCTGCGCTAATTTTGGAAAAGAATAATGATTCTGTTTATAGGTAAACATTAGCACTAATTGGTGATTGAGGAAAATTTAATACACTTCATCTTCTCAGGCTAATAAAGGCAAGAATTCATTCAGCAGTAGAAAAACAACATTAGTCCCCTCTTGTTGGTTTTATCATTTCAATCGTCTCGTCTGTTCTTTCTTGTTTGTCCACCATACTACAGTTACAAACAAGATGTATTTGTGAAACACTGATGGTAGCTTATGGCGAGGATTGAATCTTCTCAAATGTATATCAAACTCTAAAGGTCAAGGTCAAAGGTGTTGGTACCCAAAGAAAGGTCTTGTTACAAGGAATACACTCTTGTATTTCTTATGACACATGACTTGTGTATTCTTGTGACAATACCTTTCTTTGGGTAGCACCAAATTTGACTTTTTGACCTTGACCTTGGAATTTGACCCACTTTTACCAAAAAAAATATCAACCTTTAACCTTGGGCATAACTTTTGAACAGTTGGTGCAAGGTCTTTCATACTTCATATGGTATTCATTGACCTTTCAGTGATTATGAATATTTTTGACCTTGACCTTAGATTTTAACCCTTTAACAATGGCCATAACTTTTGAACAGTGCAAACTAAGGCTTTCATATTTCACAACTGCATTCCTTGTGATGAGACCTTTCCAAGGATTCCAACAATTTTGACTTACGTTTGAAAAACTTAATCTTCGCCGTAAGCTGCCATACGGGGCATCAGTGTTTCACAAACACATCTTGTTTTACAGGTAATGCTCATGTAAAAAGGTGAAACGCCGTCTCTTTGATGCAAGTACTCCATGTTTAAGTTTTTGAAAACTGGATCAATGTTCAAGGTCATGGAATAAAAAAAATCTTTATTCAGAACAAGTAATGATACGAAATAATATAAAAGCCGCAAAGGCCAGGAGCAAGGTTGATCATTTTGTAAACCTTCAAGTTAAGAAAATGAAGTCAAAATGCAAAGTATACTCAGAAAATCTTGTTACACGAGATGCAGATGTGAAATATGAAAGCCCTGTTTTCTTTTGATGATGATGACCAAGGTAAGTTTTTGATGCAGACGGACAGACGAACTAATTCAATTCACTGTCCCAACGCTCTTGCAAATTGGGAAACAATGATCTTCAATTTTTGATTCCCACCACATCTTTATTCAAAGTAAAAAAGAGGGCTCAAAGCACAACTCTTTGACAAGCAAATACAGAAGTTTAATATTAAAGTACAAAAAATATGAAGAGAAAATTCATATTATTTCGTAATTGATTGTCACATGTGGGTTGGATTGAGGTGAGACCAGCTGCCCTAGCAAAAAAAGCTAAAAATAGTGATATTTTACTCTTGAAATCTTTATATATGTTATCCCTGAGTTCACAAATTTCAGCCCCCTGAGACACCACTAACAGCGACCCAAGACCCCCCTGCTTCCTAAACTTTTTAACTATTCGGGCTAAAGCCCACGGTCAGTTTAAATTAGCCTTATACATATACAGTGTAACACATCATCTCAGGAAAAACCATTATGTTCTAATGGACTAGTACTAGGTTTTATAATTATCATCCCATACCTGGTTCCTCCGTAAAGAATGCTGGAATAATTTGGCACGACAGGTAATCACAGTATTTTGCTACCCACAAACCATAAGAAACATCGGGTAATTGGAACCATGAATGGCTGAAGCAAGCTAGGCTGTACAAAACGTTGGCTGTAATTAGAAGTACGATCGATATCCGCTCGTATATCAACTTAGAAGAGTTTATATTAACTATCATATCCGTGAAAAATACAAACGTGAATAAAATAACTGTTGTATAGTGTTCATAAAATGTCTTATTTACAATTTGAAAGAATTTCTACTTGGCTGCGGCCTATCACAATGGATTCCACCTGACGCTTCCGGTAATTGTAACCATTTACTCGCACGTGACTCGACAAACTCGTAATTATTATACAGTTAAAATATATCGCTGAGGGAGTTAGCAAGATTCCAGTTCTTCAAAACCAAGACTATTTCCCGATTAGCAACATCCCAGTTCCCCAAAGCCAGAACTATTTCCCAAGGAGCATCCGAGGGAAATCGTCCTGGTCGAGGGGAACTGGAATCTTGCTAACTCCCTCAATGTTATACTTTTTAACTGTTTTATTATACCGATACAAAAGTTAAAAAAAATGAGCATTACGAATGACGGGGAATTAGCTTTCGGAGCGGGCATAACACACTAGACTAAAGCTCGGGGATAAGTCCAATAACATACTGCATTATACCGATACAAAAGTAAAATCTAGAGGATTACGGATAACCGTGAATTAGCTTCCGAAGCAGGGATTAGCTTATTTGACTATCGCACAGAGATTAGTCCACTAACAGTGATTTCTAGGGAATTATTACCATTTAACTATGTAATTTTTATATATATAGGGAAAAATCAATAGAGGTATAATAAAACATCCTAAGCACTAGTAGTATCATGTATTGCTATATATCGTATAATGGTAGGAATAGTGGAATTTTTTTTAATGTTTAAATTTATATACAGTTATGAAATGATATGTGAATTTTGTGCGCAAGAATTTCATTCACTTCCAAAACGGAACTACATTTTAGCTCTACTGATCAAAGAAGAGCTTATGCGATTGTTAGGTGTCCGTCCGTCTGCCTGTCTGTCTGTAAACAATTTTTCAAAATGCTACTCCTACAGTTTTGGTCTGATTTCAATATACAGTGAAATATCAGTATCTCGAAGTTGAAGGGACCTGGACACGACTTCGAGATATCCAGGGGTTCGAGATATCCAAAATTATCTTCCAAAGTCGAATTAAAAATGTCCCGTTTTTTCGTATATATCCATGCATAACACTATCCTGTAATAGTGTATTACCAAACATGTAGTCTTTATGGTAAAGACTCAAGCATAATTTTGCAATAAATATTAAGAAAAACAACGTCGCACACAATAAGACTCGGTTTTTGAATTCGATGAACGGTGTTACCATGGTGACTAAAATATTTTAGAAATGCTACTCCTCATACAGTTTTGGTCTGATTTCAATATAACTTGACACACAGGTAGACTACATCAAGATATCTAATTCTGTGTATCGATTTTTGATATCGATGACAAGTAATGTCATGGTGAATAAAATTGAAATTTCTCAAAAATGTATTTTCAAAATGCTACAGTACTTCTTCTACAGTTTTGGTTTGATTTCAATAAATCTTGCCAAGAAAAAGACTAAACCAATGATGTTTTTAAAAGTTTATTGCTGTTGCAAAGTTAAAAGTTCACATGCTACTTTTACTTTGTTATAAGTATAAACCAGTAGAGCTACAGTCTCGTCAGAGACTTCTGGTTCCTTTCCTTTCAGAAAATCACCATCAGTTTAAAACAACTCTTTCTGAAGTATTTTAAAGGAGAGTTAATTCTATGTAATTGACTACTCTTTACATATGCCACAAGTTCGACATCTCATTATTACACTTCTCGGTGGAACATCTTCTACAAAAGGAGAAAAAACTTACATTTCGATATTAATTTTTTCAATAAGAAAAATAAACTGACATTCATGTATGTAGTAAAAGGGGATATTGTATGGGGGAAACTTTCCATTCAGACCATTTTTTTGTCCTTGGCCCTTTTGGTATGAAATGGAACGTTTGTGTTTAGCTTAGTTTTTACAAAGGATTATTGACTCCTAAGATGTATCGCTTGATAATCGTTGATATCACTACAAGATGACTTCTAAGATTTTTGTTCCAAGTAAGTGACTCCTCAAGTTCAAATAGGTGATTTGAATATTAACAGAATACTTCCGGCTATCACGATTATAGGCTTTGATAGGGCCTTATTATAGGGTGTCCAAATCAGTGTCATTAATTCCCATCTGAAGGTCGACAGCTTGAATGCGGACCCTGACCATGCATTTATTCCGTGCTTCTTCTGCTTCAGGCATTAAGCCGCAGGCATTTGTCATTTCCTATTTTCTCTTCCTTTGTACACCGACATCAACAGACTTTACCTGACAATCAGTTATTACATTATCTACAAACAGAAACATTAGCTATTTATATAACTCAAACATATAGTAAATATAATTTTACACACTGACTTGACGACTGATTTTCCGTTATTTCCCGATCATGACAATGGAGCACACGGCGGGTGTGACCGGTCGACAGGGATGCTCACTCCTCTATGGCACCTGATCCCACCTCTGATGTTTCGGAGGTACGTGTTTCCGTATGACATCTGCACGAAGTGCGTTGGACCGAATTATCTTGCAAACCAAAATGGAAGTATAAATAGACGAAATGTTCGGTGATCTCAATTTCAGGGTTAGGAGGGCTATTAACAACAACCATAAGGAATGTTTTGTTGCGGAAACAGTGAAAGAATATGCGAGGAACACACGGTTAGTATTTATTTTGAGATGACAGTTTAAAAACACGGAGAAATAAATCAAGAAACAGCGCACTTTTTTGTGCGCAATAAATATACTTGTCAGTTTTTTTTAATGGGTGGCGCTGTAGCTCTCCGGTCTGTCAATTTTTTTTTCGGAGAGCTACAGTTCGGCAGCAGATGCTTTCATCATCTCGTACTTCTCCTGGTTTTATCCGGATTGCGACGTCTATAGATTGTGACGTAACGAAAGGAAAGTCAGCATCGGTTTAATAAAACACATATATATAATATTTATACTGACTATGAGGATAAAAGCAATTTTTTTTGTCTGCGCCTTGGGGGACGATGAACATGCTATTGTCCTCATAGTCAGTAAATAGGAGTATAATGAAATTGAAAAGTCGCAAGTGTTAAGCTGTCGATTTTGGTAAAATCTTTGATTTCAAATTTTCCCAAAGTTCCATGGAATTTTTAAGTATCCACATCTGATTTACACCACTTCTCGAATATATTGTTGCACAGTACTCTTCAAGTTTCTCCTTCACTACTGTTAATATCTTATAAATAACCATTAATTCTGTGCATGCCTTTAATTTAGGATTTGTTGTGCTAATGGTCGATATTCCACTGCGGTCATGCAGAGAGAGACTTATTAAGTATGGACTCCCTTTTATGAAGAGAAGTCAACTGAAGGTTAAAAAAACCCTTTATTTTTAAGTGACAGATTCAAGAATACATATAATTCCTAATTTTCTGTAAAACCCCTGTTTATTTCATGAAACCTCAAAAATTCACTGACAAATAATTATTCAGAGAACAGACAGGTATTTTTAATGAAATGCAACTCATCTTGTAGTGTCTTAATATAAAACGAAATCATATGTAACACGAAAACAATTATTTTATGATGATGTAAATGTTGCTATATTTTCGAGATTATTTGAAAAGCAACTGCGGTGTCATTAATTTTCCTGGGTTTCTTTGTTGTATCAATTTACACACAAGCTGCCTCCTTCATTAGTAAATTGTATTTTGTTGACCATCAAATTTCATTGTCGAGCGCAACCATAAAAAAAGAAAATGGATATTAAAAAAGAAATAAATCCCCAATAAAAAAATAATGAAATTTTGACTTCAGCATAGTTCAAGATAATGTTCAGACTCCAGACTATCTGGCCTGAAAGCAGCAATATATTGTGTTATATTTAAAATCGGAGTTCGAGCCATCAAGAGTCACCTTTACATAACATTCTTTATATCCCCCACTTGAAAAGTGGGGAAGTATATAGTGATCAGGATGCCCGCCCGTCCGTCCGCCTGTTACGCTTGGGATACATATCTCATATAGATCTACCACTGAATGGAATTTAATGATAGTACAATTCTCTACGTAATTAGCGTCTCTCAAATGGCGACATTGATTCTCATTGGTTAAGAAATTATTAACATCAGCAACTTTAAGTTGTTGTTGACAGCAATGAGACGACTTAAGTCCCACTTTAAGCCTTTACTTTTTGATCTGACACCTATTTCGGTTCTTCCAGAGCAAAACATGGACTTTGCCTTTATAATCATATGGGAGGCGGGGTAACATTTAGTCAGCTCTGTGCTCACAGTACCTCTAGTAATTAGGTACTGCCATTTTGAAATTTGTCTGAGACTGATTGTTTTCGCAAGGGATGGACTATTAATTAAAAAGAAAAAATGGTTCCTGAGTAGAAATAATTTAGAGTAATAAAATATAGTTTAAAATTTGTACATGGTTTAGTTGAAAAACTTAGCTTTTTTGGATGATGGGAGAAGCGCACATATCGTAAATATTTTTTTAAAACGATTTTTGAAACTTGGTATGAAATTTTCTTAAACAACGGTATATTTGGAGGCATGGATTCCGTTCCTTGGACCATGCTTTTATGAAATCATAACGAATGTTCAAGAAGAGATAATGTATCGACCATCTATTGTACATTATCGCCCATCCAATTACCACACTCCTACAGACAGTGCAAATGGTTTTTTCATCTCTTTGCACTTTCCTCGTCTATATAATCTGATGACATTTTCATATTTCATTAGTCAAGAAGATAATGACATGTATGTAATTATACCCCTTCGGTGCTTCAATGTTAATATTTCTTAGTGGTCAGTCAACTAAAATAATTCTTTTTTCTCTCTTATTGGATTATTCCATTTTAGAAAAAATATTTACATTTAGTGAGTTCGCCATACAGCAGGCTAATGCTCCAAATGTTGTAATCAACTGTTTTTATTGGAAAAAAAGATGTGTTTGTGAAACACAAAGACCCTGTACGCCAACATAACGAAGGTTATACTTTCTCAATTGCAAATCAAATATGGTGGTGCCCAAAGTGAGGCATTCTCACAAGAATTCAATATGAAATCCCTAGCACCACCTGTACAAAAGTTATGACCAAGATTTAAGTTTTTTTAAATGAAAGAAAAAGTGAGCT